CTTTTATACTACCTCCGTGGCACGTTGGGGTTGGCCGCCCTCCCCGTATTTAAAAAAAAAAGTCACGGTAGGATTTAGGGGCACTGTGCTCCCCGCTTTGCTTTTGCTGCTTGTATCTCGCGAAGGACCTGAGCCTCAGTAGCAGAAAACGCTTCAGCCAAGCTTGCAAGGAGCAGTACCAGTACAATGGAAAAGAAAATGGAAACTACTATAGTATATTGGGCTTATATAGGGATAATGGAAAAGAAAATGGAAACTACTATAGTATATTGGGCGTACATTACCAGTACAATATGTATGTATGTATGTATGTATGTATGTACATATAAAACGTACATACATTCAAATGTCTGCTATTCGTCTACTTATCTAGTTGCATAAACATTTCAGTAGTTACTTATGCCTTTACCAAGCATACACGCACATGAACACCTACAGTACGCGCCTACCTACACGCCTACATACATGCATGCACGCATGCATATATGCATGCATACATGCATACATACATACTGCATGCATGCACATACGTAGATTCATTCATTGGTTCGTTCATTCATTCATTCATTCATTCATTCATTCATTCCATTCATTCATTTCATTCATTCACTTCATTCATTTCATTCATTCATTCATTCATCCATCCATCCATTCATTCATTCATTTCATTTCATTTCATTTCATTCATTCATTCATTCAGTCAGTCATTCATTCATTCATTCATCCATCCATCCATTCCATTCATTCATTCATTCATTCATTCATTCATCCATGCATTCATTCATTCATTCATTCATTCATTCATTCATTCATTCCATTCATTCATTTCATTCATCCATTCCATTCCATTCATTCATTCATTCATTCATTCTTTCATTCATTCATTCATTCTTTCATTCATTCATTCATTCATTCATTCTTTCATTCTTTCATTCATTCATTCATTCAATTCATTCATTCATTCATTCATTCATTCATTCATAGGTTGTTGCTTCTGCAGGCTCTAACCTTTTTATATACCCTCAGTCTTCTTCTATGTGGGCAAAAGAGGCCTGCCAAATGTGCTCCAAACTCGCACAAAAAAAAAAAATGCAAAGCAAACCATCACCAGATCTTCATCAAATTAAGGGCCCCCAGAGGAATGCCCGCGGCCGCCAATCTCGGCAGCCCAGCTGGAGTGCATGGTTCTTCTCCGGCCGAAACCTTTGTGGGTCCAGTTCAGGTTTCCAAGAAGCTGGGTAGAGATTTACACGGGCATTGAAGTAGCATAAAAACAAATTTCGCGATCCTCATCCATTCTAATTAACCGACCCTGGAAGGCTGAGCCTGTAGAATCTCCAAATGCTTTCCCACTTGCAGACTGCAGACTGGTCAGTGGGCTGAATGTCTTTGACAGCCTGACAGGTTCAAGAGGCGGTGGCAACGAGCTCCGGACTGCGCGAGAGAAAGCACCAGCTTTCCAGCAAAATCCTGCGGTGATAAAACTCCGCAAAGCGCCAAGGCAGGATAAAGCAGCACACGAGGGGCAATGATGCCGCGCCGCATCTGCAAGAAACAAGGAGGAAGCCCATCCTTCTGAACTCTTGTCAGCGGCAAAGCAGCCAGGGCAGCCTCAGCCCAGTGAATTTGGACAGGATTGAGGACTCAAGTCGACCAATTCGGGTCAGTTCAGCGGGAGCCCACTTGACCTGCTAAATCCAAGCTACAATGGTGGCAAATAGGGCAGCTGCAGTATCACATGGCGGATACACCGTGCACGTCCTGTCGGGCCTGATGCCAAGCATCAAGGCAAATGTCCGGCCTATTCTCCAAATGATACACCAGTTTTGGTGGATTGCCTTGCTGGACTCTGGCTGGGCCCCAGGCACAGCCCACAAAGCATCAATGTGGCCACGGGTCCATGAGGAGTTTACGAGGACAACCTGCGCTCCCCCAGGAGCATCTCGCATTCTCACAGTTTGCTTCCTTCAAAGGCCCAAGCATCTGCAGATTTCCTGGGCAGTGCAGGAACCTTTGAGGCTGAACCTTCATCAGATTCAGCAGATGCCAACAAGAGGCCCCGCCATCCCATAGAGCGCGGCAAAGGCCTTGTAATATAACCTTCAGTGACCATCATCTTTGCAGCTTGTAGAGCATGAGCGATGTTTAAACACGCCGGGCACACAGCTTGGCAGCTGAGAGTATGGGAGAGCGGGCAACCATGGCATCATTGCACACAGCGTCGCTTCCTTGCTTCTGCATCTCATGAAGCAATGACATGTTGGCCCCTGCACCTCAATGATGCATTCATGCTGAGGTCCCATCTCCGAACACGAACCTGGGGTCATGCCACTCATATCAAGACTGAGGGCACCAGAGCTGATTATCGAGAACCACGATGACTGCCTGCACGTTGCAAAACATGCCTGCTCCAACATGTCTGTGGAGATGGTGGGATAATGAACCTGAGTCCCAACAGTGTCCGTGCTCACCAAGCCTTTTCCAAGTTGAGAAAGCTGGAACCGCCTCCGAGCCGGCAACGTAGCACCCGACTCTGCAGCTGGTGAGCAGGCGAAACAAAGGCAAGGTGAAGGCGTAGCCTGGCTGAACGCGCCGAACTCTGACCGTGTTACTAACGGACTAAGCATTTTTAAAAAAATCATGGTGCACCTTTTATGAGGGTCCGCATAATATTTTGGAGTCTCTATCGGGGTCTCCCCATCCAAACTCTGGGCGACCACTTCCGGATCAACAGAACGCTAAGCACAAAATCCACCCACAAGCCAGCCAGATTCTGAGATTTCTGCTGCCAGAGAAAAAATGCCAGTGGCGCCCATCGAGTCTATGTACATGTCTGGCTGGAACTTGCACACTGCCTCCCAGCCTCTGACAGGACATGGCTTCTGATCGTTGTGTATCCCTTCTTCATTTCTACGACACGATCTGAAGGCTTCGGTTGCGGAAGGGTCTCTGGCTTTGGAAAACACTTGTGTGGCGTGTTCTGGTTGAGGACCCAGGCCAAAACCCAACCTGATCATCGCCAAGAAACGCAAGTTGCTACAAAGACTCTATCCTTTCTACTATTTGGTAGTTTCCCAAAATTAGGGGTATCTTTCTGGGGGTCCCTATAATAAGGACTCTAGTATTTTGGGGTCTATATTGGGGTCCCCCTATTTTGGGAAGCTACTATTTTAGATGAAAGGGATCAGGCACATCCTGGGCCTTGTATCCCGCCTCAGGTTGTATCAAGTGGGACTGCGCCTGAGCTGAGGTCTCTATACACCTGTCAAGAATCGCATCCTTGTGCTCGGAAGGATGGTGCCATGATATCTTGCCTGGGTTTAGGGTTTAGGGGTTTAGGGTCCTTAACATCTGGTCGGACATCCGAAGCTGTGCCAGTGTCCTGTCCACCACAAGGACTCCCAAGAACGGGCTTTTAGG